AATCAAGAATGGCTGAACCTCAAGAGAACTGGACCTGGCAACTGGGCCTATCCCTTACCATCTCTGGGCCTTGCAGCCTCTCATCCCCTGGCCAATATTTGCATCCGTGCCCCTTTCCTGGGCTTCTCTTCACACTTCTTTGGTTTTGTTGCACGTAGTGGCTGAATCTCCAACTTGGTATCGAGACTCACCAGTGACTGACAACTCCCCTCTGTGCCTCTTAGTTCCAATTCACGCAAGCAAAAGGATCTGATTGGTTTGGCTTAGCTTTGGGCGGGATCCCTTAGGTCAGGTGTTCTCCAACGGTCCAATCATCTGTGGCCAGACTGGACACGGATATGTGAGCAATTCCCTCAGAAGGAAGCTAATGGTGGCAGACACTGGGACTTAGTTTCCCCCTCTGTCTAGTGAAAGGCCTCAGAAGAGCCCAAATGAGAGGATAGTGGCCAGAGGGAAGAAAGGCCAAGAGCCAGGGTTTATAGTCCGTCCATATGGCACCCTTTGTATGACTTAGGAAAAAGCTACCCTCTGAGAGGAAGCAGCACCGTTAAGTACGCAGCTGGTCAGTGGATGGCGCCTTTGGGCTAATGAGGAAAATATGACCCCTCTTCCCAGTGAAAACAGCCCTGTCATATTAGGGTGCACAGCTTCGCAAGAGGACCATATGCTGCATTTCAGCTTCTGCCTCTCCTGCTGCTCCTGGGTCTTTGAATAGTGCATAACCTGTTTCACCGTTCACAGGAGCCCAGCCAGAGCCCTGAGATCTCCCCCTGCAAAATATGGTCAAGGGTTCGGATGGGAGTTGGTGGTGAAGCATAAAGCATAAGAGGCTCCTTAGGAAATGGGGGCCATTCAGGACGGCTCAGTGCAGGATGCAGGATGGAAAAGTGAGAGGAAGAAAAAGGCTTTTGAGGATGAATGTCCCCCAACAGCCAGAGAAACACTGTTCCCTTCAGAAAGTTGGAAAGTTGGGGGCAGTGGGGGCTGGAACTGCCTGCCTCCTCCCGAAACGCTCAATTGCTTCTTCAAGGTTTCCCTCAAGGACGCTTGGAGGTGCCCAGCTCCCTTGGCAGGAAGCAATTAGGACAGAGGAAGGAGTCTGACCTGGCCTCGGGGCAACCATAAACCTAAGGAGGTGACTCAGAAGCCTGAGAACCTGGGGCTGCTATTCTCGGCTGAGGCCATGCTGAGGGATGGGAAGTTCTGCCCCTTCCACCTTGGGCACACAGCTCCTGGGTTGCCTCCTCCCACAAACCACCCACTCAGGCTCCCACAATCTCTATCCCAGCCAAGTTAGTCCACCTCCTACTTTCAACCTTGCCCTCTGCCCCATCTAGCTGCCATTAAGAAGCCAGAGTGATCTTCCTAAAGCACAGATCCGACCCTGTCAGCTTTTCAAAGGCTCCCTCAGCCCTCTGTGTGACCTTCTCCTTGAATGTCCCTCCAGGTCCTGCATGATCTGGCACCAGCCGGCCTCAAAAGGCTTTTCTCTCTCTCTCACTTTCCTGTCCTGAACCCTGCAATGAGCCATCTTGAATGGCCCCGTTTTCTAAAGGGTCTCTTATACTTTTGTGCTGTGCACAGCCATTGCTCCTCCCTGGGCTACCCATTCCCATCTCAATTATCTCCCCCCCTATGAAGCCCTCCCAACCCTCAGACAATTGGCCCTTCACTGTACACAGTCCTTCACAGTCAACAAACCCTTCCCATGTGATCTGCTCTTGGCTCAAGCACACATTTAAGTATCCTTTTTATTTTTTTAAAGATAAGAAAAGAAAGGCCCAGAGAATGGTCAAGCTGCCACTTGAACTCAGGTCTCCTAACATCAAGGCCACTGCTTATTTTGCCTCCTCAGGCACGGGAGTGAATCAAAGTCAGAATGTGAAAAGAGAGTTAAAAAAAAACATGAGCTCGGAGCCTCAGAGGAGGAAGCGTCTTGCCTGATTTGGGGGAGGTGGGAAACAGGTAAAGAGCAAAGGGCAGCCCTGGCTTCATGGAGGAGGTGGCATCTGCCCGAGGTCTTACTAAACATTAGCCAACAGGGCCAGGCATACTGGAGCAGGGCTGTCCAAGGGAGCAGCCAGGTGTGGGGATCCTGGAGTCGTGCCCTAGGGGGTCTGTTCCCAGCTTATTCATCTGAAGAAGTGCTGGACCTGGAGGCAAAGTGCTGGCTGAAGTCCAAAAACCCTGAGCCTGGGAAGCCCTGCACCCCGCCAGCTATTAGTGAGTGACAGACAAGCCAGAGAGGATGGCCAGAAGCCTGGAAGGGTGGCAAGGGTGGAAAGAACAGTTGAGGATCAAGTTCTCTAATCCTTCCAAAGAAGGATCTGGGAAAAGTTTTTTTGTTTTTTGGTTTTTTTTTTTAAATGGAGTCTCACTCTGTTGCCCAGGCTAGAGTGCAGTGGCATCATCTCGGATCACTGCAACCTCTGCCTCCTGTGTTCAAGTGATTCCCCTGCCTCAGCCTCCTGAGTAGCTGGGATTACAGGCACACACCACCATGCCTGGCTATTTTGTGTATTTTTAGTAGAGACAGGGTTTCACCATGTTGGTCAGGCTCATCTTGAACTCCTGACCTCGTGATCTGCCAGCCTCAGCCTCCCAAAGTGCTGGGATTACAGGCATAAGCCACTGCACCCAGCCTGGGAAAAGTTCTTAAAGAGACTGAACCAGGAATCTGGGCAGGATTCTTCGATGGCAAGGAACAGGGTCTATTCATGGCAGGTTGAGTAATGGGAAATGGATTCACTGGGACTTTTGGTTGCAAGTGAACAAAATCCAACTCACACAAGCTTAAGCAAAAAGGGAGGTACATTGGCTCATGTAATTGGGAAGTTCAGGCATGGCTGGGTCCAGAGACTCAGTTGCATCCTCTCTCCCTCCCTCCTTCTGCTTCTCTCTCTGTGGCACCATTGTCCTTCCAGATGTGCTTCTTCCATGTTCTTTCACCAGCCAGGTGGGTTCCCAGCTCACATTGCCCCAGATTAACAACCTCAGAGAAAAAGAGCCAAATTTCCTGGCATCCCTAAATAAGAGTAAAGAGTGTCTTAGCTGCGGTCAGTGCTCTGCAATTGGTCAGGTCTCAGTCACATCCCTATGTCTTGACCAGAGAAAGAGAGGCTGGGAACAGTCGTTAATCAAGCAAAACCACCAACTTTCCTTTTGGGGGCATTTGTTGAAACAATGTGGAGAATCTCATGAAAGTGTAGAGATGGGCACCATAGCCAGTCCTTAGCTAGAACTTAGGAAGCTGTCAGGACCAGAGGTGAGCCCCTCTCAGGGCAGCATGGTTTCTCTCATGTGCTGCTCTCTGCACATCCTTTCCCATCTTGATCTGCTCCTCAGTCATTCTGCTCCCAGAGAGTTTCCACCTGCTCTGAGCTTTACATTGCATATAACTGCAGTCTACTGAGGTTCACCCAGGTCTCTTGGGAGCCAATTGTATTTCATAGCATCCTCAGCTTCCATTCCAATGGTTGACTGCCCAGCCCGTTTCCCAGTTCCAAATTCCTAAGAAAGAGAAACCTGATTGGCCCAGGTCATCTTTTCAAGCCAATCACACAGATTAAAGGCTGCTGGACAGCATGGGGGTGGTTCACCTTTGTGTCAAGTGCTCACTGCCATCCAAGTAACCACTCTATACACTCTTTCTAAGTGATCTCATCCTTCCCCTCCATAAGGCACCTGAGAATAATTAACCCCATTCCTACTGTTTCAATTATTTATTACAGTGTAACAAGCTGCCCCAAAACTTAGTGCCTGAAATAACAATTTATTATTTTTGGTGATTCTCTGAGTTGTCTGGGCTCAGCTGGAAGGTTTTACCGCTTCATGTTCTGTTGGCTGGTGTCATCCACATAGCTGAACTCCACTGGGAGCTGGGCTAGGGCTGGAACAGCCAGGATGGCCTCATGCACGTGTCTGCCAATTGTACCTATAGTCACCTGGGCTGCCACTGGTTTCTTACCCTCCAGGTCCTCTCTGTCTCACCATGTGGCCTTTCCAGCAGGATACTCCAGACTTCTTTACATAGTAGCCAGCTCCCAACAGGGCAAAAATGGGATCTGCAAGCCCTCTTAGGACTTAAGCTTGGAAACCACACAGCACCACTTCTACTCCGTTTCAGTTAGTTAAAGCAAAGTCACAAGGCCAGCCCAGAGTAGACTCCATCTCTGGACAGGAGGAGTGTCAAAGTCACATTGCCAAAAGACAGGCAGGATGGAAGAGGTTTGGGGGCCATCTCTGGAAACAATCTACTAATCCTGGAAGTAAGTCTAAACATTCTTGCCCCTAATCCTAACACTTTATTATGATTTCCCCCTTCCTCCCACTCCAGGTTGGGTTGGTTCCTCCCAGGACCTGGTGGAGGCTGGGGAGAATCACTCCATTCTGTAGCCTCCTCACCCAGTCAGAGGCCTTCCTAGCTAAGCTAGTGTTTCTCCTGCTTCTCCTACCCACCTCTGAGAGAGGCTACTTGTCTCCCATGCACACCTCTCAGAGAGGCTACTTGTCTGCTTCCTGGCTGTGCCTAGGAATGGGTGACATTCGTGTCTGCACCCTTGGACCAGTACAGGAGGGCTCTTCATCAAGAGGGACAGATGCCCTGGAATTCCAGGATGATAGTTCCAAGGCCTCTCTTCTGCCCTCCCTCTATCCAGCCCCTTCGTGGCCTATAACTAATCACTCCAAGCTGGGCAGGTGGGGGCCTAGGAATGTGCGCCCCCTGCTGACCACCAAGGGGGCCAGCAAGAATTCGGGTTCAGAGTCCCTTTTGAGTCTCTGGCCTGTGATCCTCACCCAGGCCAAGGGCAGCCTGGTCTGGACATGGACTTCAAGGACCCCCTTCTAGGTGGTACGGAGGAGCTGTCCGGCTGGGTCCTCCACTGCGCTCCCGCTGGGAGCAGGCTTCTGCTGGTGGCCGGAGCTATCCGTGCCTCACCTGCCCGTCTGCGGGATGGACTGGCTTCGGAGGGAAGGGGACGTTGTCAGGATCCTGGGTCCAGGCTCCTAAGGAAAGATGAGCGGCTAGCTTTTCATTTTCTCCTTTGGCGGGGAGAAAATTGTCAGGCCTCTCCTGTCTCCGCGCCCTTCAGAGCCTGCGAAGAACATCATTTTCGCAATCCCAAATCCGCTGCAGCCCACAAACCCAGAGAGCCAGAGAGGTGCCCCACTCGCTACCCAACCGGCTTCCGGCATGGGTCGGTCGGGGAAGGAGAGCCCAGCTATACCTCACACCGTACAGTAGCAGCAGCGGCGGCAGCGACACACCGGCGACCGAGAGGGTGAGTGTGACACCCCCCCCCCCCCCCCGCCGCAGGCGGGCGGGGAGCCCAGCTCAGACGCACAGCCTCCCCGTCGCTGCCCGCCCCCTTCCCTCGCCGGGACTCGCCTCCCTCCTGCAGCCCAGCCCAGCCAGCTTCGCGTCTACGCCACCGCGAGCTCTGGCCGGGTCGGGTCAGAGCCCGAGCATGGAACCTGGGGAACCCCAGGAGCCCCGCGAGCCCGGGCCAGGAGCGGAGACCGCTGCGGCCCCGCTCTGGGAGGACGCCAAGACTTTCTACGACAGCCTCGCACCCAAGAAGAAACCCAAATCGGTAAAAGCAAGGCAGGGGTTTGCGGGGGATGGGGTAGGGTTACTCTGAGAGAGGGGTCATAAGTCTCTTGGGAAGGGACCCGTGGCGCCCCTCTGGGAGGGGACGCAGCTCCTCAGCCCCAGAAAGCGCCCGGCAGCTGGCGCGGACTCGGGTTTATTTTGGGAGCTCTGCTCTGGTGTATTTTTTCCCGGGACTTGGGTTCCACGCCAGGATCCCCCTCCCCCATGCTGTCATCAGGGCCCAGCTCGAGGCCCGCAGCCCCAGCCCCTCCCAACTCGGGCAACCGGGGAGCGCGGATTGCACTTGTTGGCGAAGCCGGTCGGCAGCGCCTGCAGAAGCGCCCCGGGCGCGGGTAACTAGACTCAGGAACCCTGTTCCTGGCTTTGCGCTCCAGTCTCCGCCATCTGGGCATCGGGCTCCGGACCTTACGCTCTGCGTTTAAGGTCTGGCTCTGGGCCCTGGGCCCTGGGCTAGGGGCACTGCGCTCCCGGCGTCCTAAGGAAAGGGAGCTGCTCTCACCAGGCACTGGGATCCGCACTCTGCGCTGGGGGGATCTGGGGGAGATCGGTGCCCTTGGCTGCAGGCTTCCAGCGCTGGACTCTGCCCTCCAGCTCCGGTTCTGCTCCCCTAGCAATGGGCGTTAACATCCCCAGGACCCCGTGGTGGTGTCAGCCGTCTGGGACCTCACACAGAGGAGCCCTCTCCTGTCCCCCACCAAACAAGTTGATGATGCCCTGGTCTGCCCCTGGGCCTTGCTCTCCCCAGCTTCCCAGATCTCAGAGCTTGAGGAGGGGACTGAGGATAGAGGTTGGCCCAGAGCCGTCCTCTGAAGAGCTCCAGCTTGATCTTAAAGCAACCTGCTGCTTCCCTCCAAGGACCCTTCCCCAAGAGGTCCACTCTATCAGCAATCTTTTACTTAGCACCTCCCGGCTCCACTCAACAGTGGGGATTGGGGAATTAATTAAACTCAGTCCCTACCTCAGGAGCTCATCACACACTGATGGGGGCTCTGGAGATGAGAGTCTGGGGGAGTTGTCGGGGAAGTGGAGTAGTGCCATCACACTGGGGAAAGCTTCGTAGAAGTGGTATGTATGCTGATCTTAAAGCCTGAGTATGTGGAGTTTCCCAGAGAGAAGAAAACAGGACAGGCGAAAGTCATGCAGACGTCTCTGAAGCTCAGGACTCTGTTCCTGAATAAGTACTGAGTGGAGGATGCTGGATTGCTGGGAGAAGAGCAGGAGGGATGTGACAGAGCCCACAGAGGGCCTTGGGGATCTTGTTAAGGAGTCTGGACCTTACTCAATGGGGTCAGGGATTTCCAAACTAGCTTCCCCAAGTCCCCTGTTTCATGGAGTCTACACATGTAAATCCAGTGTATTTTCTTTTTTCTTCAAACTAAGTTTTGTACAATTTAATATGTGCAATAAAGCCCACTTCACTCTAATGTATTAGGTGGATATTTTAGCAGCTTCAAGGCCACTAGCTTGTGCTGCAGATTTTTTTAAAGCAAACCTCAGAATAAGGCTTTCCCTGTGATCTGTTTCATAGAAGAGCATCTTGAGATTGTGAGGCCTGTGGTTTAAAACAAAACAAAACAAAAAACCTAGCATTTGCAACTACTTATTGGTCTGAATCAGGACTTTCTCAATACTTTGCAAATACAAACACAGCAATAACTTAGCTGGACACTGAAGCTTAAGTCCACACAGGCATCCTAACCTCTAGTTTCACATGTGTTGTCATGCAAACAACTGTGTTGTTTTCATTGTTTGACTTTATAATAAATAAATAAACAAAATGCATTTGAATCTGTAAAATAAATATATGCCAATTATATATGGTATATCTGGTAGCATATAGTATGAGATATATGGTAATTATATATGGTAATATCTGACTTACATATTGAATTCAAAGTTCATTTGAATTCATTTAAATAAAAGGTCAACCCACATTTTTAAAACATATGAATACCATTATGGAGCTATTCCAGGATTTTTCATCAGAGGATTAACTGGGTCCCATTTTTATTTTAGAAAGATCACTCTGGGATGGATTGGAAAGGGTGAGTCTGGCAGCAAGCCCACCAGTGAGAAGGCTGGTGCCTGTCTGAAAAGGAAGCTGGATGAGTGTCAATGTTGTGGCCTGAGTTATGGAGAGGAAGGGAAGGAGATTGGGGACTGGGGTAGTGAATGCATCAGTGCTCAAAATCCACTTCCTCCCCAAGCACCAAGGAACCAGGGAGCTCAAGCTCAGTGGTCAGTCATGACCCCTGGGTCAGCCCCTGACTCTCACGATTCTCTGGGAGGTAAGAAGTCCAGAGGCTTCCCAGCTCCTATTCCCTCCTGCAGAAGCCCCTCTTCCTACAGGCTATTTTGGTGACTTTAGGCCTCATGGGCTCCCTTGTGGCCTGGGCTGGGCTTATTCTCATTCCCAGGGGCCTGAGTAAAATATTGAATGCCGGACAGCCTGTTGGAAGCCCTCACCTCATGGGGTCAGAACACTTCTTCAACCCAGAACTCTCTTGTCCCTCTCTCCTTCAGCAGCCCTTCCCTCTCTAAGTCCTACTAGGAATAACAGCTTTTTGCCTATGTTTCTATCTTGAGCCCAATAGGCAGAATTACGTTGGCCTAAATGGGAGCTCCTCAGGCAGGCCAGGTCGGGGTGGGCTGCCCTGTTATTCTTTCATCCCCATCCCCCAGCTGGAGCCCTCAGCCTGACCCTAGAAGGCGGAGAGAGTTGCCAGGACCCTGGTTTCCTGGAGCCCAGAGCTCCCAGACTGAGCCTCGGAGTCGCTCTGACCCAATTCACAGTCTGAGATCAGGGCTTCTTTCTGCTCTCTGGAGGAACTGTTCCTCGATGCCTCTGCCAACACATGGCCACCTCTGCCGCCAGGCCCGGGAGGGTCTCTACATCCACGGCTTCTCCCCAGTTCTGGCCAGCTCCTTTCACCTGCTCCTTCAGCTCCACCTGGAGCCTAGACAGGTCATTCATCAATCCCAGCCGGGATCCATATTTCTTACACAGTCACGGCCTCTGGGCCCCTAAATTCCACCTCGTTTGTGTCACAGCAGTCTAAGTGGGGACACAGAGTCCTGTCCTTGGGACCTCCATTCTGACAGGAAACAGAGACCTGTCCTTAGAAACCTCAATTTGAGGGCATGCCCTGATCATTTCTCCCAAATCTGGAAAGTGAAGGCTGGGGGAGATGTTTCCAGGGAAGTAGCAAGGGATGGAGTGTTCTGGGAGCTGTTGAGGAGGGGAATAGCAAGGGAACTGCAGTGTGGAGAGAGGTCAGGCTAGACGCCAGAGACTTGAGATCTCATCTTGCTCTGCCTTGACTAGAGTAATACTGTGCCCTTCTCTGGGCCTGTTTCCCTATCTGGAAAAGCGAGAAGCAGAGGACTGGTGGGACCAAGGCCACCAAGATATTTTTCTTGCAACAGCACGGGTGGGATGGGGTAGGGTCTGTATGGGTAGCTCAGCCAGAGGGGGGCCAGGACTTGATAGTCTGGCAGGGACTGTGGGACAGAAAGTGAGGAGCCCTTGGCTCGCTGCCAGGCCTGGAGTGGCAAGCTTGGGAACCTGTCTGGAGGGGCTGGGAGGGAAGCTGGCTCTCTGTCCTTGAAAAGATGATGGCCTTTTCCTGGGGCAGTAAGCCCAGGGGTGGGGAAAGCTTAGCTCCTATTCTGAAGGCCTCCAGGCTTCCAGGGTTTATGAGAATGCGTCTCCCCACTCCACCACCAACCGCACCCTTAGGACGCACAGACACACAGTGGTGGTCAGCAACTGAGAAAGGTATTTGGGTTGAACCTCCAAGAAGAAGCACCTGTCCTGCCACTGCCTTATACCAAACTTGCTGGCCACATACAGCATCTTGGTTGGCGTTAAAAGTCAAATGCAAACTGAGGTCTAACACAGGACCTTAGGGAACTCGTTTGCCTTCCACTCCCATTTTAAGGTTCTAAAGCTGCATTACCCACTAGCCATATATAGCTGTTTAAGTTCATTTAAATTAAATAAAACCTAAAATTCAGTTCCTCAGTCTCATTAGTCACATTTCAAATTGTTCCAGAGCCACATGGACAGCACAGATTATGGAATATTTCCATTATCATAGAAAGTTCCGTTGGACCGCGCTCTTCTAAAAGATGGTGTCAGCCTCTGTCTTGGGGGTGGATCATGAGCTCCATGGGGACAAGGATCGTACCTGTAATGTTTCCTGCCATGTCCATCACACAGTATCTCTCAAATGTAACTACTCAATGTTGTCAACTGATTGGAACCCAGAACTCACCCCAGAAAGAAGCGGTGGGATCGAGTACATGACCCACAGACGATCAGGAGAGGCCAGAATATGAGGTACATTTATGAGCCTTGACCTCAATTTGAGTCCCTCATTTTTAATTTGTAAAGTGAGAATCATGACCCCAGGACTCCTCAGGACACAGAGATGGTGGGATTCTCTGAGTGTCTGTAAGTCCCTTGGGCACTCATATACTGATCCTCCCCAGGGACTATAAAGGGGCCAGCTGCTGTCTGGGGTGCCATGCTCCACTCCCCCATTCTACTGGAAGTGAGTGTTAGAGTCCATTTGGGATACTATAAGAAAGTACCATTGACTGAGTGACTTATCAACAACAGATATTTATTTCCCATATAAGTTTCTGGAGGCTTGAAGTTCAAGATCAAGGTGCTGGCAGATTTGATGTCTGATGTGGATCAGCTTTCTTGTCCATAGATGGCCACTTCTAGCTGTGTCCTCACATAATGAAAGGGGCAAGGGAGCTCTCTGGGGGCTCTTTTATCATGAAGGCTTCACCCTCATAAACTAATCACCTCCCAACGCCTCTGCCTCTTAATACTATCACCTTGGGGGTTTGGTTTCAGCATATGAGTTTGGGGGTGATGCATATATTTAGACCATAGCAGTAGGGAAGAAGTTCTGGGGCCCTCTGGGACCCCTAGAGAAGGCCCTCTGTAAGCTCACATCTGCCTATTCTTCTGCGCTCATATACACCCACCCCCACAGGCCTGGCCTCTGCCTACCTTTGTGAATGCCTTGTGTGTATGCAAACTTCTTCATGCCTTCCTTCACCGTGCTCCTCCTTTTTTTAAATTTTTTTATTTTTATTTTTTTGAGACGGGGTTTCACCATGTTGGTCAGGCTGGTCTCAAACTCCTGACCTTGTGATCCGCCCACCTCGGCCTCCCAAAATGCTGGGATTACAGGTGTGAGCCAGCATGCCCAGCCCCCCTCAACCCCCTTTAAGGCTTTGCTCACAAGGTCTCCTCTCCATGACAACTTCCTCTGAACCCCTGTCATCAATACTTTGCTTTCACCTCTGTTCTCTAGCTCATGTCCATTTTCTGTGGTTATAAGAGAATATCACAGACTGGTTAATTTATAAAGAGTAGGGTTTTTTGCCTCACGGTTCTGCAGCTGGGAAGTCAAAGAGCATGGCGCCAGGTTCTGGCAAAAATCTTCCCGTGGCAGAGAGCATCACAGGGTGAGGAAGCACATGTGAGAGAGACAGAGAGAGAATGGAGGTCAAACTTATCCTTTCATCAGGAGCCCATTCCCTCAGTAACTGACCCATTCCCATGATCATGGCATTAATCCATTCATGAGAGCAGAGCCCTTGTGACCTAATCACCTCTTCTTAAAGGTCCCACCTCTCAACACTGCTGCCTTATGTCTTAAATTTCCAACACATGAACTTTGGGGACATATTCAAACCACAGCAACTCATTTCCTTCCCTTTTGCATCTGAGTTCCCTGTTTACCTATCTTTCTTCCCTACCAGCCTGTGAGTTTTGAGGACAGGAACCAGGTGCTTGCCAGGACCACTGGGCAGAGCTCAGGCACCTGGCACAAGAACCAGTGAATATTTTACAAATTTGCTTCAACCAAAAGAAATATTCTCTGAGCACCTTCTATATATCAAGATATCTGAACAGATTAGGGCACTGCAGTGGAGTTTCTATTTCATGTTAAATTTGTCATTGCACATACTGTTTCTTGTTTAAATATATTAAAGTTTCAGAGGCATTAAAAGTTTACTGAGCACCTCTGTGTTAGGCAGAGTACTATACACTAGAGATACTATCTAAACAAGACTCACGGTTCCTGCACACCTAGAACTTAATAACTTAAGTGATTAAATAAGCAATTATAATTTAATGTTAATTTTTTTTTGAGATTGAGTCTCACTCTGTCACCCAAGCTGGAGTGCACTGGCACAATCTCAGGTCACTGCAACCTCCACCTCCCAGGCTCAAGCAATTCTTCTGCCTCAGCCTCCCTAGTAGCTGGGACTACAGGTGTGTGCCACCGCACCCAGCTAATTTTTTGTTTTATTAGTAGAGATGGGGTTTCACCATGTTGACCAGGCTGGTCTTGAACCCCTGACCTCAGGTAATCTGCCTGCCTTGGCCTCCCAAAGATCTGGGATTACAGGCGTGAGCCACCATGCCCAATCAATTTAATGTTAAATTTTACTAAAAAGGAAATCCTTAGAAGAGGTATCAAACTAAGACTAAGTAAGACTGAGGGAAGCCTTCCTAGAGATGACATCTAGTTTGAGACCTGAAGGTTGAGTACAAGTTAGCTGGAATGAGAGTTAGGAAAAGAGGACACTGGGCAAGGGAACATCATACGCAAAGGCTCAGAGAAAGAGGGAAAAGTACTCCCTGGTGTGTGAAAGTTGGGATGGGGCAAAGCTGGGGGCTGGGGAGAGTGGAAGGGAAAGAGAAGTAGGGGCCTGTTGTGTAGGGCTTTCTGTTCCACACTAGAGGCTGCCGGCCATATTCTGAGAATAGCGTGCACCACTAAAGAGATGGGTTGTGGTCAGATCTGAACTTTAGAAAAATCCCGACAGCAGCATGAATGGCAGATTAGAGAGAGTGACAGATGACGACAGCCTGAACGAAAGAAATGGATGGATTCTAGTTGAGTTGCCTCATTTCAGTGATTGATTGATGGGGAAGGGAGTCGAGGCTGACTTCCCGGCTTCTGCATGGGTAATGAGTGGATAGTGGTTCCAAGCATAGCTATGAGTTACAGGGAGAAGGTGATGGGAGTTCAGCCTTGGGAATGTTAACTTTGATGGCTGTTAGTCAACTGGGACAGTTAGATGGATACATGAGTCTGGAGCTCAGGAGACAGATCTGGGCTGGAGACACATTTTTTATATATAATTGTCATATTTATGAGCGTCATTTCTTCCTAAGGGCATGTAGCTCTTATTTTATGCTGGAAACCATCTGAGATCATCTCCAGCATCAGTCATACTTTGATCACATATATTGGCTTCATTTTTTTGTTGTGTCCAGATGCCCAACTAGATTGCAAACTCCCAAGGGCATGGCCTCCCCTCCATCAGACTCCTTGCTTCCAGCAAGGAAGCCAGCACCTCTCTCAACCCCCATCTGGGTTCGGCATAGATGGGGTCCTGACCTAAGTCCACCTCTGCCCAAGGCTGGGCTTCTTTAGGGTTACAGACTGCATCTGGGTCTTCTCCATGTCCCCACTACCCAGGAAGACTCACACATGTGCACCTGCCTCAAGGGAGATCTGAGTCACGACCTCTTCTCCCATACCCCTGCAGCCCAAGCCTCAGAATGCAGTCACCATCGCTGTGTCCTCCAGAGCCTTATTTCGCATGGACGAGGAGCAGCGGATCTACACGGAGCAGGGCGTAGAGGAGTATGTGCGCTACCAGCTGGAACATGAGAACGAGCCCTTCAGCCCCGGGCCTGCCTTCCCTTTTGTGAAGGTGAGGGGGCAGTTCCACCACTAGATCCTACAGTGCCTTTGTGGGGATTAAAGAAAGGCACTCCCGTGGGTATTTGAGTCAGGAAAAAGGGCTCTGGGCAGTTGTAACCACAATAGGTGAACAGCTTGGCTAGGTGATGGAGCCTTTGTGGAAGAAGAGGCCACCCCACTCTCTGGACCAATGCAGTACCATGCCTGGTAACCAGCTTGGTGAGTGGAATGCGGGCTGGATTTCAGCCCAGGCTCTCCTTCAGTGAGGTGCCTCTGAGCAGTAAACAACTTGCAATAAGAGAAGGTGCACTGATCTCATCCCAAGCCTGGCTCCTTCCCTCCCCCCACTGGATCCTTGGCCACCAGCTTCAGGTATCAATCCTTGGGGGTCTAAGCTGGAGGGTGCCCTCTCCCTTCCAGGCTCTGGAGGCCGTGAACAGGCGGCTGCGGGAGCTGTACCCCGAGAGTGAGGACGTCTTCGACATCGTCCTCGTGACCAACAACCACGCTCAAGTGGGTGTCCGCCTCATCAACAGTATCAACCACTATGGTGAGCATGAGCATGAGGATGGGGGTTTCCCCTGGGATACCCCTACCATACCGCCCAGGGATGGGGCCACACCTCTGCAGGATGGAGTTTTACTGGCCGGAACCCCAAGTGTGTCCTTGTCAATTGGCTCTTTAAACAAACAAGCAAAATCCCGATTCGTAGTGTTGCTAGTTTTCGGAGTGTAAATATTTCCACCAGGACTGGTTTCAAGCTATCAGTGGCTGAACAACACAAATGGCTCACAAAATTTCTGAATGTTTAACTGTGGGCTCTTGCAAGCTGGTACAGGTCCAGCATACCCTACACCCAGTGTGATTAGGTGGGGCACTTGCCTCCCTGCCTCAGTTTCTCTAACTGTGATGGGGCTAACAGGCCTCACAAGGTTGCTAGGAGAATCAGGTGCAGCTGTCAGAGTGAAAGGGCTTTGTGTCTTAGTCTGAACCCAAGGTTAAAAATAATAGACCCTCCAGCCGGGCGGGATGGCTCACACCTGTAATCCCAGTACTTTGAGAGGCCGAGGCGGGAGGATCACAGGTCAAGACATCAAGACCATCTTGGCCAACATGGTGAAACCCCATCTCTACTAAAAATACAAAAATTAGCTGGGCATGGTGGTGTGTGCCTGTAATCCCAGCTACTCAGGAGGCTGAGGCAGGCAGAGGTTGCAGTGAGTGGAGATCGTGCCACTGCACTACAGCCTGGCCACAGAGCAAGAATCTGTCTCAAATAATAATAATTATAATCCATCCAGAGCTAGCCTCAGCCGAGGAGAATAATTTCTTATTAGGTTACAGGGTGTCTTTCAAAGGGCAGGACATAAAATTAGGCCTACAAAGGCCTGAATCCAAGTACTAGAAATTTCTCCCGGGCTCTTCTCTCTTCAGGCAACATGAACCTTTATTTGTGCTTCTCTAGCAGGTTTGCTTCCCCACCCCCAACACCGAAATTGGATTTATCTGCTTTCCTTGAATAAAAACCATATTCAAGAAAAGCAGGCCAGGTACAGTGGCTCCCTCCTGTAATCCCAGCACTTTGGGAAGACGAGGTAGGTGGAACACTTGAGGTGAGGAGTTCGAGACCAGCCTGGTCAACATGGTAAAACTCTGTCTCTACTAAAAATACAAAAATTAGCTGGGCATGGTGGTACATGCCTGCAATCCCAGCTACTCAGGAGGCTGAGGCACAAGAATCATTTGAACCTGGGAGGCAGAAGTTGCAGTGAGCTGAGATCTCCCCACTGCACTCTGGCCTGATGACAGAGAGAGACTCCATCTCAAACAAAACAAAACAAAGCAAAACAACAACAAACAAACAAACAAAAAAACAGAAAAGAAAAGTGGAGAAATCCACACTTCGGGGAGAGAGAGAAAGAGAGACAGAAAAATAATAAACCTATATCTATAGGGTTTAACAACCAAGAAAGTCTAGTCGGCATTTTAAAATCCTAATTTCAAATTGCTGGGAACAGGGTTGATATTAAAAATAACCACCTGTGTGACATATGCACTGCATAATCAGGACAGTCTCCCCTATAGTGCTGAAGCAGGGCCCTGAAGGACCCCTGCCATACCAGGCATTACCACCAGGGGTCCTGGTTAACGGGGTGGGAGAGTGACAGGTAACTTAATGGGCTCAGAGCAGCAGCGGTTTATCAATCAACAAATACTTTACAGTCTTTGCAGTCATGGGGATCAGTGGACTGTCAGCCTAGGTAATCAGATTGGCCCAGCTTGGGTCAGGTGTCTCTGCTCTTATCCAATCAGCTATGGTCCGGAGGTGGGGGTCGCACAGGCAAGTAGCACTGTGATTCCTGGACAAGAGGATGTCCCTGTGAGCTGGACGATTGCTCTAGAGATGTGATCGTCCACATTTCTTTCTTTTTTTTTTTTTTTTTTTTTTTGAGACGGAGTTTCGCTGTTGTTACCCAGACTGGAGTGCAATGGCACAATCTCAGCCCACTGCAACCTCTGCCTTCTGGGTTCAAGCAATTCTCCTGCCTCAGCCTCCAAAGTAGCTGGGATTACAGGCGCACACCACCATGCCCAGATAATTTTTGTATTTTTAGTAGAGACGGGGTTTCACCTCATTGACCAGGATGGTCTCAATCTCTTGACCTCATGATCCACCCACCTCGGCCTCCCAAAGTGCTGGGATTATAGGCATGAGCCACTGCGCCCGGCCAATCGTCCGCATCTCATGGATGAAGGATCTAGGGGCTCAGAGGGGAACACCGGCCTAAAATCACACAAAGACACACTGTGCTGCCGTACCACACCCAGAACTAAGATGGCATCCACTGGGCACAGAGAGACTGCCCTGAAGCCCAGGGTTGACCCTGGCCTCACCTGAGTCCTCCATATCCCTCCCAGACCTGTTCATCGAGAGGTTCTGCATGACGGGTGGGAACAGCCCCATCTGCTACCTCAAGGCCTATCACACCAATCTCTACTTGTCAGCCGATGCAGAAAAAGTGCGAGAAGCCATTGATGAGGGTAAGTCTAAGTGAGGAGGCAGAATATGCGGAGTGAAGCAAAGGGGTCCCCGAGGTGGGAGGCCAGGTCCTAAAGTTCCTAGCAGGTGCTGGGATTTGCCATGGTAACCAGAAGGCAAAACTGCACAATACTTTCTTTAATTCTTATCATCTGTCCTATAAATGCTGAAAACAAGACCCTATCTGTTCCATCTTCCCACCTCTGGCTTTACTGTGTCATGGATGCTTTTGCTTCTCAGCTTCATCCAGCCTTCTGTTTCCATGGAAACCCTCTCTACAGCCCAGAAAGCTACTTTCTTCTATGATTCCTCCAAGTCAGAAGGAGTTCTGATTCCTGTAGGACCATAGGCAGCCTCTGTCCTGCCCTGGGCCAATGGGGAGGAGGATTTGTATCTAGTTCAGCCTGAGTGGTGGGGTCTGGGAAATGGCCAGCATCTCCAGCAGCTAGGCTAGCCAGTGCTTAGTGGAGTTTAGGAGACCCAGATGGAAGTACTGACAAAGAGAATGCTCCTCTATGTGTGTCTTTTCAAGGGGCAGTTTTGGGTGGTATCTGTAGTTTCAGTCCTCCCAACGAGGTGCATATACTATTGCATGTGGAAGAAAACAGGTGTATGGAGGAGCAGGACTGAGAGGGCTTCTTAGGCTGAACACTAGTGAAAAGTTTTTGTGTTTTTTTTAATCAACCCGCAATATATTCACTTTTCTCTTCCTCTTTCATGTTGTCTCCTGCCTGGAAGCCTGACCTCGCTCCCCTGATAACTCACTCCCCTGAGCCACTTGGGAGCTCCTAGAGGCATTCTTTAACCAGGAACCAGAAGCTATTTCCCTAGACAGATGTCACACCCTCTGTTTGGGGCCTTGGCACTGGCATGTCAGGGTGCCTCTGTGTGTTTGTAACCTGACCTCAGACTAGGGAGCAGGAGAGTGGTCCACGGGGAAGCCCTGCTGAGGGAAGGGGTGGTTCTGGGTCATCTTGGTTCCAGTGCTGGCAGAGCTGAGCAGTTGCCTGGCTTGATGCCTGGCACTGGCCCTGCTTGCAGCATCCTCAGGCTAGTGAAGTTGTGAGACGGTAGCACTGCTCACTCCTCCCAAATGCCTAAGCCCAGCCTCTGTGATCCTCAGTTCTCAAAGAGTTGGGCTGAAGTGGTCTTTGCAGAGATGGGGACTAGGGAATGGGCTCAGCCAGCTGCCCAGGTCTCCAGCCTCCCAGCACTGGCTCTCTACCATCTAGTGCAGCTCTAGCCTGGAGCCGGAACCCCTGAGAGACATCCCTGGACCCCTGAAGGAGCCCGGGATTGCAGAGAGTCTGTGCACACAACTAGCCATCACCTGTGCTGTCTCTCAGAGCCACCTAGGTTGTTTTTTGGAACCCTGAACAGCCACCAGTAGGGCATTCCTGGGTGCCATTGTGACTGTAGACTGAGGGTGCCCATACTCACCTCACCTGATTGCAGCCTGTGGTCTCAGCCCCAGAGCTGTGAGGCTGTTAATTTTACAGTAGTCCAGAGAAGGTGAGTGCCTTGCTAGAACCAATGGTGAGGGGGTGACAGAGGCCAAGCCAGAGTTGGGGCTCCTTCCCAGACCCACTATAGGTCTCCATCAGGGCTGTGAGGCACCCCTGGCAGGAATACAGTGGCCTGTGGCACTGTTTTTCTGGTCCACAGCAGCATGATCTTACTAGGTGTTAAAGTATTGAAATTCCTTCATACTTGTTGGTAAATTGTTCCTGCCCTGAGTCCTGAGGACTCTCTGCCCCCCAGGACTCCTCCCAGACTTCACAAAGCAATAACCAAAAGGGTAACTTGGCAAGGCAAGGGCCTTCAAGACCTGCTTTGGAACCGCTGCTACTGCCCTCTTCCTGGCCAGGATCCATGCACTACCGGTTTTTAAATGTTTTAATTATTAGTTTTCATCAGCCTCACCCTGAGTCCTTTGTGAGGCAGGTGGGGCAAGGACAGCCTAAGATAGCCCTCTCTGGCCCTACTGCCCAGCCTGAAGGCAGACAATGCTTGCCTCTCTGCCCAGGGATCGCAGCTGCCACCATCTTCAGCCCCAGCAGGGACGTGGCTGTGTCCCAGAGTCAACTGCGCGTGGCCTTCGATGGGGACGCTGTGCTCTTCTCGGATGAGTCGGAGCGCATTGTCAAGGCCCACGGGCTGGACCGATTCTTCGAGCATGAGAAGGCCCACGAGAACAAACCTCTGGCTCAGGTGCTTCACATAGACCCAGAACCCCTGAGTGGAACAAGGCAGCTCCCAGACCTGCCATTGGCCTATACTCCCAGCCCAGAACCAAACGAACCCCAGGCTCAGCCCAGATTCCAGGCAGTCCCCTTGACCACTGGCCCCCCAATCAATAAGTTTCCACCTGCTTTGATGAGCTTCCATCCCCTCACTGAATTCCATCCCCACTTTGAAGCCTCCATTCTCCCTCTAAGCCTCTCTCTAAGCCCATGCCCACTCTGCAGCTCAAATCCCCATTTCTGAGGTCTCCTTTCCCTCCCTGAAGTCCCCATTCTCCAAGTCCCCACTCCTTCTCTGAAGTCCCTGTCTGCTCTAAAGACCTCGTCCTGTCTCTCTGAAGCTGCCATCCACTCTCTGGAACCCTCACCTCCTCCCAAGATCCCCCACCCCCCTGAGAGAGCGCCCACCCTCTTAAGAAGCCTCTGTTTCCCTCACTGGAAACAGGAGGAAAGGAATTGCTGGACTGGGGTGCCTCACTGGGCAGAAAGATCCAGCTGACTGTGGTGTGTGGGGCAGACCATTTGCTCTGGGACACCTCCTGCCATCCATCCCTTGGCTGGGGCACGGGGACCCTCACTCACCCTCAAACTGCACAGTGTCTCTAACAACAGACTGGGCCCTAGAGCTTGATAAGAATTCCCTGAAGTTGAGGCTTTGGGATACTCCAGCTCTACTGGGAACTCCTATTTGAGCTTTTAACAAAAATCTGGGTGCTCAGTAATCTCAGGGCCCCTCTCTCCAAGAGCTCAGCAGGCTTTAGCTGTGGCTCCTAAATATTCAGTTCACTTCTGTTCTTCTGAGTTGGCTCTGAAATCCTTGGGAATCCAGGGCAGGAGAGTTTTCCTAGTAAGTGGTAGGCAGAGGCCCAGGAGACCACTCCTTATTCCTGGTCAGCTACCAAGTAAGAGGTCTCCAAGACCAGGAGCCCACTTTTGTTTATTTCTAGCTGCTTTGGAAATAAGCAATTCTCTTCATCATCATCTGTTTTTTTTTATTATTATTCTCATATTGTTGGGAAGCTTCATTGTTCTGGGCACTGTAGAGACTAAATTCCTTCCCTGACCCTAGAGAGCACGAGCGTGACACCCTGAGCCACCTGGGTGCCAGATGGACGCGGTTGATGCTCAACAGTTACACATTGGTCCATCTTCACCAGCGTTTACAGCTGGAGTCCATTCTGACTGGAGGGTGCCCATGCCATAGTTACTAAATTTTTTTTCTTTTTGAGACGGAGTCTTGCTCTGTTGCCCAGGCTGGAGTGCAGTAGCGCAATCTCAGCTCACTGCAACCTCCACCTCCCAGGTTCAAGCAATTCTTCTACCTTAGCCTCTGGAGTAGCTGGGACTACAGGCACACACCACCACACCTGGCTAATTTTTGTATTTTTAGTAGAGATGGGGTTTCACCATATTGACTAGGCTGGTCTGGAGCTCCTGACCTCATGATCCATCCACCTCAGCCTCCCAAAGTGCTGCGATTACAGACATGAGCCACCGTGCCTGGCCCCACTAAATATTTTTAATATCCTCCCTGTTGATGGGCACTGAAGGCCACACTTACAGAGCTTCAGGACAGACATCTGTATACTTTGATGGGCATATGGATGGACGATACATATTAACAGTTGCCCTGATAGTTATTCTGACCCAGCCCCAATATACAACAACACAGATCCCCTGACTAGAGCCCCACTGGCGCACACAGTAGCTTAAGCAGGCATAGCAGAACTGAAAGATTTAAGGATCCCAAGCTTTTCTACACTACAAGACACTAGCACTTTAGGGAGAGCTGCGGGCAAATGTTTGGGAGGCGGCAGAGCTCACCATGTTCCACTTGCCTTCTCATAGGGCCCCTTAAAGGGCTTTCTGGAGGCACTGGGTAGGTTGCAGAAGAAGTTCTACTCCAAAGGCCTGAGGCTGGAGTGCCCAATTCGTACCTACTTGGTGACAGCACGCAGTGCAGCCAGTTCTGGGGCCCGGGCACTCAAGACCCTGCGCAGCTGGGGCCTGGAGACAGATGAAGCCTTGTTCCTCGCTGGAGCACCCAAGGGCCCCCTCCTCGAGAAGATCCGCCCACACATCTTCTTTGATGACCAGATGTTCCATGTGGCTGGGGCTCAGGAGATGGGCACCGTGGCTGCTCATGTGCCTTACGGCGTGGCACAGACACCCCGGCGGACTGCACCTGCAAAGCAGGCCCCATCTGCACAGTAGCTGAACCCCCAGCTCTACTGACCCACATTGCTGCAGGCTCCCCGTCATACTTCGACACCTCCTCTGGTAGATCCCTCTAGTTTCTCATTGTTCTGCCCTTCTGACTGTCTGCCCTCATCCCTACAGGTGATGTACTTGTAGGAAATTATGCAGACAGGACTGGCATTCTCAACATCCCTCCTCTGGGACAAATTCTGTGCCCTGATCCTGAGTAGGACAGTAAGACTGTGCAGAGTAGCTGGATTTCAGGGAGAAGTTAATGGGTCTGAGAGAGGGAGGGTCAGAGAAGCCAGGATTTCTTAAAAGGGGCTTGGGATGAAAACTAGCTCAATGTAGTGTAATGAACACTGCTTTAAGAGAGAGTGGATCTGGCTTCTAAGCTCTGTCCTGCCATTAACTGCATGACTTTGAGTGAGTCCCTCCCCTTCACGGGCCCCAGTTTCCTCATCTTATAGGTGGTTTTCAAGCTCCCTTTAGGCCAAAGAAGTTTGGTTCTTTAAGATCGCCCTCTTAGGCCAGGCGCGGTGGCTTACACCCATAATCCCGGTACTTTGGGAGGCCAAGGCGGGTGGATCACCTGAGGTCTGGAGTTCAGGACCAGCCTGAACAACGTGGAGAAACCCCGTCTCTACTAAAAATACAAAATTAGCCAGGCATGGTGGCGCATGCCTGCAGTCCCAGCTACTCAGGAGGCTGAGGCAGAACTGCTTGAACACAGGAGACGGAGCTTGCAATGAGCCAAGATCACTCATTGTACTCCAGCCTAGGCAACTAGAGTGAAATCCCATCTCAAAAAAAAAAAAAAAAAAAAAAAAAGAATCACCCTCTTAGATGGTATGGCACTTTTGTGCAAATTACAGAAGAACACTGTCTAGGTGAATGAAGAATAAAAAGACAGCCCTTCCTCTGGCCTGGCCTGACCCAGACCCATGCTGAGATACACAGCTTAGCAGGATAGAGGCTGGATTTCAGTCCCCATATGCCCTTCCGCTCAGAGGCCTTTGTCAAATGGACAAAATGCATAATTGCCCCAGCAACCCTATCTATAATTTTACACATTTTGAAACCACTAGACAAGATGACCTATCTGCTCCTTTGATTCTCTAGCCTGAATGATCATCAGGGCTCAGCCCAGGAAGCAAGGGTCGTGAATTTAACCTGCATACAAAGTCTCCTCCAGCCAGCAGGGGGCACTGCAGGCTCTTCCCCGGGAGGAGCTTTAGTAGCCGCCTGCTCAGTTTCCTTTGCTCTTGCTTTGAGGGAAAGTTCAGTTGCTCCTGACTACCAAGACCCTCACTTCCACCACCCTGACTCCCCCAGCTGTTGCATCCTGTTGAGCAGCTCTGCTGGTGGAATACGGGGCAGAGCATCAGTGTCCCCAATTCTAGGGGAAGAGCGCAGTGGCTGAAGTAGGCGGTTGCCCAGGCTGAGTCCCAGGATGAGGTGCTGCCTGGGGTAAAGTGGGAAGTGTCAGGAAGTCCGGCGTGAGGCAAAAGGTACTGAGACAGTGACGCTTGGAGAGGAAGGAGCTGACATGGCACTAACACAATTCTCCAGCTGTGGGATTGTGAGCGGAAGGCCAGTCAGAGCTGCCTTTGAGGTAATGAGCTCTCCATTACTGGATGCTGTGCAAGGGCTTCTGGGATGAGGTGACCTCCCCATGAGACACACCAGAGGATCCTTCAAATTTGCAGGAGCCCCTGTGACCCCTTCTTCACCACTTCCAAAGGAGAACTCTCACCACTTGATGAGTCAGCCTCCTCCTTTGCTGAGCATCCCTAGCTCTCTCTGGAGGGAGGGTAGAAGCACCAATGGCTGGTGCCCAGGAAGACCGAAGGAGTGAGCATGATGTGTGAACTGATTGCCAGGCTTCTGGGAGGAATCCTAGTCTTGAGCAAGCACTTTGTAAAGAAAACCAAAGGTATCATGAGAGGGGGAGGAGCCTGGAGGTGTGCTGGCAGGAAATGGGGAGGAGAGCACTCTGGGGCTTGATCTTTGTCCTTCTGGGGACTCAGCTCAGGGTCTGAGTGAGCACAGGTTCTCCGCAGTGTGGGGCAGGGTGAGAGATGCAGAAAGCTATCCCAGGAAGGAGAACAAAGTGAGAAGGCAGAGGTGGTTCTCAAGGTGGGCAATGATCTGGGCCAGAAGAGAAGGGCTGGGCTGACCTTTTGCTGTCATTGTCAGAGGTCTCCATGAGGCAGGTCCCAGGGAGGAAGGGCATGGCTGTGTGGAGTGACTGGGACAGACACCCACAGTGATTGCTTTATCAGGGGACACTGGCATTATTGCCCCTAGAAGGGCCCACGATAATGTCTTTGCTTGAGGCCATTTCTGCTGCACAGCCAGGATCCTTCTGGCTACAACAGAGGAGACCTTGGGGCAGAAGGCCTGGGTTACGTCTCTACTTCCTGAGCTCCAAGCCTAGACAGAGGTGCTGTGAGAGCCAAGAACAACCTCAAGGCAACAAAAAGGAAGTGAAGGAGGGAGCCCAGCCCCTGAGTCCCCTTCATTCTTGGCTGAACCGCAGAAAGGCCCTTTCCTTCTCACTCCCAGGGATCACCCCCGTGGAAGAGCCTCCAAGGCTCACAGAACTAGTGACTGCAAAGCCTACAAGGCCAGGCACAGCCCAGGCTCACAGCATGGCAATAGGCTGCCTGACCAGGGTGGATCTGCACACTGGGGTGGCACCAGATGTCACCTAATTAAGATAAACTGCAGGGATTCTGGGACTTGTGCGGTCTTGCCCCCAGGGCCTGGTGATGAACACCACTGATTATTCCGTGTCTCTCAGGAAGCAGGAAAATATGATGCTGGAAGCAGAAAGATGAGCAGCAGAAAAAGCCATGGATTTCACTGGAGCTATCATTAACAGACACAGACAGCCCTGGGCAGTGGAGAGACACTAAGAGCTAAATTCTATTATTGACATCACAAATGAGCATCTTCTCAGGCCTAGAAAAAACGCTTTCAGTCGCTGGAATAAAAAGCCAGAAATCTGGGGGGCAGCCTTAGGCAGCAGTTACACAGGCCTTCTGATTGTCTTCAAGGTGAGGAGATGCCCAGGAATGAGGAGTATTGGGTATTGTGTCACCAGGAAATTAAAAAGCCAGGTGAGCACCAAAATCCCAGGCCCAAGCAGGGAGTGCAGAACTGAGGCGGAGGGGCCACAGCTTCTGAAACACTGGTCCCCTTTAGCTGAGAGAACCACTTCCCCAACAAGCTGCAAAGCACTGGTCCCAGGAGACGCCTGCCAGCAAAGTCCCAGAGCCAATGGGAGTGCCGCTTAGCAGAAACACAGAAGCCCTGTTACTAAGCACTGAGCTTGCTCAGCCAGTTGCAAAACATCCTCCTCTCCTATATGAGAGCCCAATCAGAGTAGTGGGAATATATCAGAATATGCCAGAAAAAATAGAAACTGGCAAGAAGTTCAAAGCCAAGATGGATTTGGCATTATAATGATACTCAATTGGTGTGCACCAGTACAGCCAAACTGATGATTAACATCTTGAAATACCTCAATACCAGTTGGTAAGTAATGCTGCACTGAGTCCCCTGAATGTCTCTTCGTGGCCTCAGCTGACCCCTCCACTGTGAGCGCTTCATTCTCCCACAATGCGGCCTCTAGGGGGCTGCAGCAGCACGATGGCCAGTATCTGCTCTGTTTTGTGGTGTCCTGGTCATGCTGGTTTAGGGAGGTAAAGTAACTTGCCCAAAGCCATAGAGCTAGTAAGGGGCAGTGCTGGGACTCCAACTCGTGTCCATCTGATGCTAGGTCCCAGGTTTCCAACCACTTTGTCATATGGCTCATACATACGCATGGAGATAGCCAGAGAAGCTCCATTCTGCGGTCTTCACTACAGGAGTTCACTCACCTGACAGTTAACATGTTGATTTCCTGTATGGTGAAATGCTGGAATTCACTTGAGTGGGTGCTTCTATTATAGTTTCCTAAACAGCTAAAAATAATTTAAATTAGAGCCAAATATTTGCAAACCCCTGGAAGCACTTCCAAACAATCCCAAGTTCTGAGAAAGTCAGTGTGAAGACCCCTGTTTGGGGCTAACGCGGGTTTGGCCAAACTCCAGGCCCATGGGCCACATCTGACTCATCACCTTTTTTTGTAAAGAAACTGATTGGAACACAGCCATGCCCATTTGTTTATATATGTTTATGGCCGATCTTGCACTGCAGCAACAGAGATGAATTGTTACAACAGAGACTGAAAGCCATGAGTATTTGTTATCTAGCCCTTTACAGAAAAACGTGGGATAAGGCAGACAGCCTGGCAAATGCCTCAATGGGATGAGCCAAGTCACATCCACCTCTGCATCTGTGGACGGAGGTTGGCTCCACTCCTGAAGAGCGGGGCTCCGGGCCATCTGAAGATTCCAAGTTCTGACTATTTTCAAGCGACCCAGGGCTCATGGTACTTTGCAGTTTTGTTAATGCACTGATTTGGCCTGAGTGTGCTCTCCCAAGCTGATAAGTGAGAGGGCAGGAGCAGGCCCTGTGGCTGGGAATGAGCCCAGCTGGCTGTCACCATGCTTCGTATTCCCGACCCATTTCCTCGTGAGGCCTCTTAGGCAATGATGAGCCTGGTAGGTGAACGGGCATTAGCTAGATATGAGTTTTGGATAGACTGAAGTGCCCACTGTTGACTTCAGCGGCTCTGAGCCAACAAGGTCATCCATGTACTTTCTGTGAAAGCAAGAACAAGTCTGTCGTGAAGAGGGTCCCATGAGGATTTTAGCCAGTTCAGAAGTTACTGATCAAGTGAGAGAAAACTGCTGTCACAGATGGAATGGCAGTTTCTAGTGGCATGAGGGCATGTGAGCAGTAAAGTCAAATACCCCTCATTTGGAAATTTACCAGGCTTCCAGGATCCACTGCAAGAACGAAGAGTTTGGAAGATGCCCATCTACAGCCATCATTGCTGTCGCTATTCCATCATGATATTCTTCTCCACCAAGCCCAGACCGGGTCTCAGAATCTTTCTCCACCCAGAATTCCAGGCAGCCACTTCCCGTGGGCTGGAGCTGGTGTGAAAGATGAAACCTCTTTTGCCATCCCTATTTGCGTTGGGTTTTGCTATCCACGAGGCATGCAAGGCCATCCCGGAACGTTCATTCTCTGAGGGTATGACACAACTCTGAGGATATCAGAGTCTCCCCTGACTTGGGTAGGACACGGAGTGGGCGAGTAGCATCATGTGGCTGGCAGTCTCCCAGGTCATGGGTTTTATCGTTTTGAAGCAAAACACAAACCTCCTTTCTGCCAGTAGGTGGCACTGCAGGCTGACACTCAGCGGCTGGCAGTAGTCAAGTGATTCTCACTGATTTGTTTCTCTCCTTTTGACTTAGTGCTGAGCTGGACTCTCCCCATGGTTAGCTCTAGCCAGCCACGAAGGACTTCAGGTGCTCTGGAAACGTTGCTAAACAGCCTGAGTGATGAGCCGATTGCTCTTGCCGATAATTACTGTGATTGTGTGTATGGATGCACACATATAAGTTTGTGCAACAGGATAAAAATCGTGCGCACAAGCGTATTTATGTGGATGTGTGTAATGGGTCAGGTATCTCAGCCAATTACTCTGTGTGTGTGCTCACTGAGTGTGTACAGATGATTATCTCTGTTAACTGAGTGTCCTGGGACCCACGTACTGACAGCCAGCCCTGGAATAGTTGTACCTGTTCTCATCATAACATGGGTATTTGCATATGTGCAGCTTGAAAGCCACCGAGAGCAGCCCCTAACCTCTGGCCAAGAAGGTCTTGGCTCTTAACCCTTTGCCTCCTACCCCTACTCCTGAGTCTTCGGAAGAAAGTGGTAGAATCTGCGTAAGGACAGCCCTTTTGACTACACCTGCCTCATCTCCATTTGTTTCTTCCCTCTCCCTAGCAGTGCCAAGGCCAACATGTCCAGTTGTGCAGATTACGCACTGCAAACATCTAGAGGGAGCCATTTGCACTGTGACGTGGATGGTACCTCTTAGACACCTGTGCAACCTACCAACTGTATACAGGTGCCCTGGTCATCTCACGGCCACGGCTAGGAAAGTTGCCTTCCTTCCGCCTGCTGGCCCTGTCCAACCTAGGCAAGGATCCCTGCCTCTGCTTGAGTGTTCTAATGTGGCCCAGAAGTGACTTACCTTTGATCAAAGTATCTCCCTGATGGGCCATCCCCTATAGGCCTTTGGAATTCCATTTATAAAAGTGAAATGTGACTGGGAACTTTTCAGTTACTCATTTTTGTGAAGTGAAAGCCTCTGTAAGGCAAACCAAAGCTGTGAAGACTGGGATCACTGGCTCCCACACTCCTGGCCTGTGGGTGAATATGCCTTCATGGCCGTCTGCCACGGAATTAGGGTAAAGGCCTCAAGGCTTGTCTTGTAGCTAGCTGCCACCAAGTAGGAAATCACTGAGGTCACCCCAAACTGGATGCCTGGGCCAGGGGTCACAAACCCCAATGCCTTCAGAGGCCAGGCAGGAAACATAAATGAGTAGAGAGGATTCGGCTGGGTCTGCAGTGAGAATGGAGGATGCTGTGGTCTGCCACAGTTGCTGCCACATACGAATGTGACACACGCATGTAGCATGTCCACCCCATTTTTGAAGAGAAGCCAGGAATCTGGACTTTCAAATGTTAGCAACTATTTTGAATTTAGAAAACACTGTCCAGGCCAAATAAGAGATATTCTGTAGTCTAGATCCTGCCCTCGAATATCCAGTTTGCATCCACTGGCCCAGGCCCAGAGACTTGGGTTTTTAAAACACGCATCACTGAGAGTCTGAGGACATGACACACAGATTCTCAATGCTGGATCTTTAAGAGACCCCAGAGATGACCTAGCTCAGCCTTTGTGCATTCAAAACTGCAAATGTACAAACTTCTGTATTAATGTAATAGCGCACATATACTTAACTTCTGGTTCCTACTTAAGAGCATCTCAGTAACCTCCAATATAGAACAAGAAGAAATATGAAGCCTGTACACATAATGTGCTTGTATCTACCTGTCAGAAGCCCTTTGCTTGGATAGCATTTGTGCCTCAGTCTTCCTCATCACCCAACCTCTCCGGTTGCTTGTTATGATAAACCTAAGTGCCTCCATAAATGGTTAGAGCATGTGTTTCTCCATCTTTGTGACTTCCCTTGTCTGAGTATAAGATGCTCGTACTTCTCCCAGCTTTGCCCTCTTTGGCCTGCTAGTAGCATACTCCACCAATCCCGCCCTGTCTGGCTCTTTGTAGCATTTACCTGGTCACATGATAAAGGGTGCTGAGTGCTTGTCAATGTGGGTCCCTGTCACTTCTCATGCATGTCCTATACCTTAATTTTACTACATGAGCTTCTGCTTCTTAAAAGCCATTCAAGGCCAGGTATGGTGGCTCACGCCTGTAATCCCAGCACTTTGGGAGGCCAAGGCGGGCAGATCATGAGGTCAAGAGATCAAGACCATCCTGGCCAAAATGATGAAACCCCATGTCTACTGAAAATACAAAAAAATTAGCTGAGTGTGGTGGCATGCACCTGTAGTCCCAGCTACTCAGGAGGCTGAGACAGGAGAATTGCTTGAACCCAGGAAGCAGAGGTTGCAGTGAACTGAGATGGTGCCACTGCACTCCAGCCTGGTGACAGAGGGAAACTCTGTCTCAAAAAAAATTCAAATAAATGGAGAGGTTTTTGATTAATTTACATTGTCTTTTTGTCTTGTTATTTTCCCCACAATTGTATTCACAAACTGGCATATGGACCCTCATGAAATGATAATGGCGATTAGGTAGGTAGTGAGCAGACCTGGAACCAGATTCATCCATTAGTGCTGGGATCTTTCCATAGAATCTGTCCCACCATGTGAAGACCACTGTGAGAATGGACAGCAGCCTGAGACCATCAGAAGGCAAGCATCCCCAGCAGGGCTCCTGAAATGGACTCAGTGTTCCCATCTGGAATTACCAAGGATAGGGGTGGAGTGGGAGGAAGAGAAGATGAGAAAGGCTGTGAGATGGAGGAGAAGGGGGAAACTCAGACTCCGGCCCTCACATCATTCTTCTTCCTGCACCCCAAGGTCTTCCTGCACCTCAAAGTCTCTGCAGTGGTTTTGCTGGTTCTTATTCAGAGCATCTCATGAGGTTGCAGTCAAGCTGCCAGCTGGAGCTGCAGTCAATGCAAGGCTTGCCTAGGGCTGGAGGAACTGCCTCCAAGGCGGCTCACTCACTTGGCTGTTGGCAGGTGGCCAGAGTTCCTCGCCACAGGGTTACCTGAGTGTCCTCATGACAGCTGTTGGCTTCCCCGAGAGTGAGTAATCCAAGAGAGAGTGAGGCAAAAGTCACACTGTCTTATGATTTAGACTTGGGAGTGACATGTCATCACTTCTAGCTTATTCCATTGGTCACACACAAACCCTGATACAAGGTGAGAGGGGACTGCCCAAGGGGGTGAATATCAGGAAGTGGAGACAATTAGGGGCCATCTTAGAGGCTGGCTACCACATATTACCATACCTCCATTACCCTGGTATACCCAGAAGTCAAGTCTTCTGCCCTGTGGCAAACTAGACTTAAATGTGTCTCCTAGATTCTCCAACCCGAAGTCCCCTCGCTTTCCCACCTGTTCTCACCCAGTCACCAGGGATGGAGAGAAGTATGATTCTTCATCTACTTCCTTCCTCACACCTCTTGTCCAACATTCCTTCAGGGGCCCTGGAGTCACCTACTTGGGTACATCATGGAAACCGTGTTCCGAGATGTCTTAGTCTCATTGTACAATTTTTATAATGTCCATAAGGCCACTGGTCCCAGAGATGTTTGCACTAGTTTATAACCAATGGACCATGTCCAAGGTAAGGGAGAGGCAGGGGTGGGGGAAGGGTGGCAGCCCAATACCCCATCCCTCCCAGGCCTTGGATATCAGGCCCAGCCTCTGGTGCCGTAAATGAATCGTCTACTTTCTGACATGATCTTGGACTGCATGTGGGTATTAAAACCCCATGATGTGATACAGATGTGACTGTGGCTTGGAGCTGGGGAAAAAAAGGAATAACCAGATAAAGAAATCACGGACAGAATTCTTTCTCCTCCCTTGTGCACTCCCTTTTCAACTTGCAAAGCTCATCCACGACCTAAGGCCTACGAGTTCTGTTTTTTTCTTTTTCTTACTGGTAGTCAGTTTTATCTGCCAATAGGTCATTTAAAGAAACATTATTTTTATAAACAAGTAACTCAAGGAATAAAATTACAAATTCATGACCAAGCGATGTGGCTCACCTATAATCCCTGCACTGTGGGACGCCAAGGCGGATGGATCACCTGAAGTCAGGAGTTCAAGACCAGCCTCACCAACACAGAGAAACCCCATCTCTACTAAAAATACAAAATTAGCCAGGCATGGTGGCACATACCTGTAATTCCAGCCACTTAAGAAGCTGAGGCAGGAGAATCACTTGAACCAGGGAGGCAGAGGTTGCAGTAAGCCACGATCGCGCCATTGCATTCCAGCCTGAGCAACAAGAACAAAATTCCATCTCAAAAAAAAAATTACAAATTCACATCATAACAGTGAATGGGATTTACTCTGTTCTAAACACTTTATACATTCATTTAATCCTCACCACAAGCCTATGAGGCAGATACTATGATTATCCTCACTTTACAGATGAGGAAACTGAGGCTCAGAGAGGAAAGGTAACTCACTCAAGGTCCACAGCTAGCACGTGGCAGAGCTTGATTTAGACTCAAGTTGTCTGGCTCAAGAATGTGTCTCTTAAATGCTACACTATACTGACTCTCTCATGTTATTGTAAAGATAAAACGCACAAAAGAGATGTTGAGCTTACGCTAAGTTTGCTTGAGCTATGTCCTCCTGAACCTCAGAGTAGCGCAAATCATCTTCTGTCATTTGAGTTCCTCTGGGAGATATGTTTGAGGAGTGGTTTTAATGGGGACCTCCCTAAGAAGCAGACCATCTGTTGCTTACAGGCGCAAAAATACTGGTTCCCCTCATTCTACTGTTTTCAGTTCTGGGCAGGAGAGGCACAAGTGAAATACTCTCTTCCACATCTTGCAGAGAAAGAAACTAAGTCTTAGAGAGGGGAAGTGATGTGTCTGAGGGCACACACAATTAGATGCAGAAAGGAAATTGAATGCCAGGCCGGTGCTCCAAATTCAGTGCCATTCCCTCTGAGACACCACATTTTCACCTGACTTAATCTGTGTCCTAGCTCATTTGTGTTTCTATAACAAAATACCATAAACGGAGTGGCTTATAAACAACAGAAACTTATTTCTCACAGCTCTAGAGGCTGGGAAGTTCAAGATCAAGGCACCTGAAGATTTAGCATCTGGTGAGGGCCCATGTCCTGGTTCATAGATAGCACCTTCTAGCTGTAACCTCAAATGGTGGAAGGGTGAGCTAGCTCTCTGGGGCTTCTTTTATAAGGACAGTCATTACAATGACACTAATCCCATTCATGGGTTTCCACCCTCGTGACCCCATAACCTCCCACCTCCTAATATCGTCACATTGGCGATTAGGTTTGTTTCACCATATTAATTTTGGAGAGGCATATTCAGATCATATTCAGGTCATGGCAATTTGAATCTTCCTTCTTTTTAAATTTAATTTAATTTTATATTCCAGGATACAGAATGCTCAGGGTTTTTTGGGTTTTCTTTTGAAATAGAGTCTCACTCTGCCACCCAGGCTGGAGTGCAGTGGCATGATCTCGGCTCACTGCAACCTCCGCCTCCCAGGTTCAAGTGATTCTCCTGCCTCAGTCTCCCGAGTAGCTGGGATTACAGGTGTGCAACACCACACCCAGTTAACTTTGTATTTTTAGTAGAGACAGGGTTTCACCATGTTGGTCAGGCTGGTCTTGAACTCCAGACCTCGGGTGATCCACCCACCTCGGTCTCCCAAAGTGCTGGGATTACAGGCGGGAGCCACCACACCCGGACTAGGTTTGTTACATAAGTAAACGAGTGCCATGGTGGTTTGCTGCACCTACCAACCTATGAATCTTCATTCTTTCATTCCTCTGGCAAGGTTCCCCTTAGGAGCCCTATGAAGCTCCAAGTTGTTTAAGCTCACCCCAGTGTAAGAGTAATACAGCCACAGCCTGAGGATATGAACTTGTTACCTGCTTGCTGGGTGACCTTGCAAAATACATACCCTCTGTGGCTGCCAGGAGAGTACATAACTCAAATTTCCTTCAAGAGAACCTGCTGCAAGGAGCATGATTACCCAACAGCCAGCAGCAGCTGCCCCTCTGGGTCTGCCGCAGCATTCATGGGGCAGATATTTTCCTAGCCTGCCCCCAGTGGTGACTGGGCACGGTGGGGAAGCTAGCGTCAGGCTATTTCTGTCCTACATGGAATCCCATCTTTACTCTGTGCCTGATCAAGACTTTCTCAGAGTTCCATTGCAGTCTGAGGCTCTTCCTAATCAAACCTTCTCCCTTCTCACACTCCTTCACAGATGTCAGAACTGCATCATGATCAAAAGGCTCTTTCTTCTTCCTCCTGCTCCCTCTCTTTTACCCTTATAGGCAATTGATTCAGTAAATGTCCTGCATCTCCAATTGGCCTTAGCATCTGTCTCCTTGAAGGCCTGAACTGACATACCCTTTCTGAGCCGTAGGACTCACACTCACCCATCTTCTCCCCCACCCCTGGGATAGCTTAGGGCTGTGCCTGATGGTGTTAAAAGTCTCCATCCTTACTAAGTGGTGAAACAGAAGTGGCAGTTTCCTGTCAACACCAGGGTACATGGTGAATTCTGATTTCAGCTATAGCCAGAGGTTAGGGACAGCTACTTCCCAAACCCTGGGTTCCCACCTAACCCAGGCTCTGCCTCAATCCCATGATCACTTCCCAGTCTCCATATCCTTCATCAAAGAGGGAGTTTGGGGACGGAAAGCAGCCTAGGGCCTTGAACTGGGGATGGGAGCCCTGGGTTCTAATCCAGTCCCTACTGCTGGCTTCCCTTGTCTAAGCTGCAGTTACTTCATCTGTACAGCAGGACTGTAGCTTGGCTGGCCTGGCTGGAGGAAGGAGAACAATGGCTGCTTCTGGTTTAAAAAATTTTATGGCAGCTGTTGAGGTCCAAGCTCCTTCCTTTGCCTGTTAAGACCAGACCAAATGGTACAGATGGGAAGCTCAGCCAGGCAAGGTCAGGGTTGGGGGCAGGCCTAGAACCATGACCTGACTGTGCTCTGACACCCACCAGTTGTGGGGTGTTGTGCCTGGGCTCCTGAGGTGGCCATCAGCCCCAGGAAGGGCAGCTCCCATTCAGCCACAGCTTCAGGAGGTGCCACAATCAGAGGAGGTAAACAGACAGTGGCAGAATAGCGAGGTCAGGCTGCCCTGGAGGTGTTCACAGGGAGCCACAGGAGTACAAGGAGGCAGGGCTAGCCGCCAGGGGGAGGCAGGGAAGACTACTAGAGAGATATTTTGGGGCAGGGTTTTGTAGGAAGAGTGTGAGTTTTCCAGACAGAGAAAGGGAAAGGCTTTCAAGACAGAATACAAAGGCCCACAGGTATGAACCTATGTTACATGTTCTAGAAAACATGGAAAGTGGCAGGACTTGAGTGGTGAGAGAGTAAGCTGTTTGCAGAGCAAAAAGGACTCCAAGGAGGATCTGGGTTCTAGTTTACTATTTACTTTTAATATTACCCTAAGAGGTACATGCCTGTCTTA